TTGCCAAAGGGGCTGGATATTGATCTCTGGCAAAAGAGAAATTAGCCTTTAAATAGGAGAGGGAGAAGTCTGATGGAAGAAAAAATGAATTAAGGAGTTGTACAGATACAAATTATAAACTTGTGCAGATGGAGGTGAAAAGTGTTTTGTTTTATTAAATGGATGAGAGATGCTATCATCTCTGATAGTCTCAATTCCTCTAAAAATACAAATTTTCCTCTTTCCATATGGCATAATTTCACAAGAATTGTCTTTGCTTTAATTCCCCTCTTCCAGTTCTCTTTGGAACTCTTTCCAGAAAGATTTTGCTCTCACCATTCCACCCAAGCTCTGTATTAAGGTCACTGATGAATTTCATGTTGCTAAATCCAATGTTTAATTCTCAGTCCTAATCGTATTATCCTTGCTTGCAGTATTTGACACAGTTAATCATTCCCTACTTCTTAAAATACTTTGTTTGGTTTCTCCACAACACACTCTCCTAATTTTCATCTACCACAATTACCACTCCTTCTCAATTTGGCTCCTCCCTATCCCCCAGACATCCTAATGTTGAAATGTCCCAAGGTTCAGGCCTAGACTCCTTCCTCTATTCTACTTACACTCATCTACTCTTCTTTGGTGATCTGAGGGCTTTTCATACTATCTATACACTCATGCTTCATAATCAGGGTCAGGCTACTTTTGTCCTTAACAAAACTCGCACAGCCAGGCTTTCATAAAATACCTTACCTTGTTCCTATAATTACTTAATTTACTATTGGGTTATTTTGAAGCAAGAAAAGACTGGATTTATCTTCCTTTTCTCTTACTAAGTAGTTATAAATTTTCCTAGAGGCCTGGTGCACAGATTTGTGCACCGGTAGGGTCCCTCGGCCTGGACTGCACCCTTTCACAATCTAGGGTCCCCTCGGGATTTCAGAGAGCCTATTTCAGCTTGATCCCTGCAGGCCAGGCCAAGGGACCCCACCAGTGCATGAGTCTGTGCACCAGGCCTCTAGTATGCATATAAGATCTTTGGTTAGTATCTTCCCGCCCTCCCTTCTCCCTCCTTCTTTCTGAGATTCATTCAGCATTCTGTTCCATGTTTTCATGCTTGTGGTTTCCACTCCTGCATTGAGTGTCTGCCCCCTGATCAGTGCACATCATAGCTACTGGCTGGCCGGGTGGTCACTTAGACTTTTATATACAGACAGCCCTCAGGTTATGTCAGACTCAGCATACATCATTTCATGGTTATGTCACCATCTTTCATTTATTTGTTTTTTAAAAAAGTTCCATCATTTCAATGTGTGTACATATGTGCTTTATGGTTTTTATTATTTATTTACCACAAGTAAAGGTCAAGAATTGTTATCTTGCCCAAAACCGGTTTGGCTCAGTGGTAGAGCGTCAGTCTGCGAACTGAAGGGTCCCAGGTTCGATTCCGGTCAGGGGCATGTACGTTAGTTGCGGGCACATCCCCGGTAGAAAGTGTGCAAGAGGCAGCTCGTCGATGTTTCTCTCTCATCGATGTTTCTAGCTCTCTATCTCTCTCCCTTCCTCTCTGTAAAAAAATCAATAAAATATATATTTTTAAAAAAAAAAGAATTATCTTTCTTTAATTTTTTTTACTGTTTCACTTCATTACTGCTGTGTATGTGCTTATGTAGGTGGGTTCCAACTTATGGCAAAAATCACGTATCGAATCATAGGAATGGATCTCCAATGTAACCTGAGGACCTACTGTATATAGATGACTTAGGGCAAATGAAAGTCTGTCTAAACTTCTATTTCTTTATCTTTAATAAGAGTAACAATAGCTAACACTTATATAGTACCTATTATGTGTTGGGTATACACATACATATTTATTATTACTCCCATTTCACAGACGAGAAAGAAACAAATTTAAGGTCACAAAGCTATCCTCACAGACTGGCTGAGCCACCGGGGTATGTGCTACTTATGCTATATGGTCTCACAAGCCTTGAATCAATGTTCATATGCACATGTTAGCAATCTACTCATGATAATTTTTCATTTAATGTTTATTTTGTGGTAAAAGAGGTATTTCAGGGTTGGAGATCATGCAGTTGTTATTGGATATTACAAATGGGACCATATTATTTTTCCTCTTGAAAAGATTTGTGATAAAATTAAACTAATCAAATAACTAAATTATTTAGAGACTTAGAAAATAGCTAAAACATAATGGTTTTAAGAGAAATGCTTTCTTAGTCATTATGTGGGAGGCTAGATTCACAATATATTTTCTTGAGGAAAAGAAAAATTAGAATAACCACTGTCACAAACAAAGAAGAGCAAAGGTTATATGAAGTGTCTTGCTGATTGAATAGAAAACAAATGTCTGTAAACCTTCTATGTTAAATACCTGGGTTGAAGCAATAGTCTGCCTGAGATAAATGATATTTCTGTCCTTAATCTCACATACTTTGTACTGATATATATATATATTTTTTTTGTACTGACATTTAAAAAGTTAGCAGTGCTCAGATGGTAAAGAAGAAATCTCACAGGTTGTAAAATACAAAAAGGGTCTGCTCTCTTCATGTTGGCACTGGTAGGAGTTTAGATTACAGGCTGTCCTATTGATATTACTAGAGGCCCGGTGCACGAATTCGTGCATGGGTGGGGTCCCTCCACCTGGCCGGTGATCAGGATGGCTGGCTGGCGGGGAGGGGCTGTGGGAGGTTGGCTGGCCACGGGAGGTTGGCTGTGGGAGTGCACTGACCAGCAGGGGGCAGCTCCTGCATTGAGCATCTTCCTTCTGGTGGTTAGTGCACTCATAGCAACGGGTCGACTGGTCATTTGGTAGTTCGGTTACTTAGGTTTTTGTATATATAAATATTAAGTAGTTTTTAAAAAACCTGCAATTTATCTGACATCAGCCATCCCATCTGAATCCTGTCCCACCCCTTCATAATTCATGGCAGTTCTTAATAAATGTGTTAAAATGTTAATCTTGTTTTTCTAATAAATATATCAGATAAGTAAAACAGCAAAATATATATATACTAGAGATTCAGTGCACAAGAGTCCCTCAGCCGGTCTGCACCCTCTTGCAATCTGGGAATCTTTGGGGGACATCCCTCTCACAATCTGGGACAGCTGGATCACTCGCCTGCTTGCCTGCCTGCCTGATCACCCCTAACCTCCTCTGCCTGCTGGCCTGATAGCACCCCTAACTGCTTGCTCCCCCGTACCAGCCTGATCATGCCCCTAACTGCTTGCTCCCCGCATCAGCCTGATATCGCCCCTAACTACCTGCTCCCCCACGCTGACCTGATCTCTCCTTTAACTGCTTGCTCCCCTACTGGCCTGATCGCCCCTAACCAACTCTGCCTCAGCCCCCGCCACAATGGCTTTGTCCGGAAGGAAGTCAGATGTCTGGTCAACCCAGTCTAATTAGCTTATTACCCTTTTATTAGTACAGATGGTTGGAGGAGAATTTTATTATTGAAACAAATGCTAGAGTCCTTAACTTGGTGTCCTGCTCTTTTTCTTCTTGGAGCAGGGATGCTGAGTCTTATAATTACTCTGCCCAAGTACATGTTCTTTGCCTCAGAGGTCTTGATCTGCTCCCCATTCCCTGAATGTAAGTGCACTCTCAAGCTCCTGTGACTTAGCATTGAGATGCCCTTGTCCATTTATTCTCTTGGGTTAATGCTTTCTGTCACAACCCAGCAGTCATATTTTTTTTCCTTTTGAAAGTATTTCCAGCCTTAAAGCTGAACTCAATTAGATGGCAGTTCTCTCCTTTCTCTATATTGATATAGCATCCTGTGCACAACTTTCTCAGAGTAATTATTGCATTGAATTTTAATAGTGGGTTTGCTTAACTGTCCTCTCCCTACCTTTCTGCCCTTGTCCAATGTTTGGCACATACTAGACACTGTAAATATGTACAGAAAAATGAATAGAAACAAATGCTGCCTTTAGAGTTGACTTTTTAACCCCTGGTGCTCCAGCAGCTGGAATCTGGAAACTTTACCAAGGGGAGCCTACACAAAATCGAGGTAGGCTGTTTTAAGAGTATTATGTTGGAGGGAATGCATGTACGTGCACGCATGCACACACACATATAAATACACACACTGCTGCTTCTCTGAGCAAGCCAGGACAAATGGAATAATTGAATAATATGAGGTGGAATTTAAATTTATAACATGTCTTATCTGTTTAATTGAATTACAACAGGGTTTTCTTTAATGGCATTAAATAGCATTGTATTTTATGAAGGTTGCATAGTTTATATATGCTATTAAAATTTATCTTTGTTTAATCTATGTTATATATAAAAAGAATATTCAAATATTATATATTTTGAAATCCATTTCTCCCCAAACATGGTGTGGAACAAAGGCCATTTTTTAAACATATACTGAATTAACTTTGAAACTACATTTCAGAGATGCAGTCTTTGATATAGTGTTATAAATGCATAAAATCAGTCAGAAGCAAAGAACCATGATTGGGATTGCCAGTGCAAATGTATTACGTAGTATATCTCAAGTTACATTACATATTCTGTAGATTAATGGGCTCTAAAACAATCATTGAGCAGTGAGGTAGTTGTGGATTTCAGTTAGTAAATAAAACAAATTGGTTGTTTCTTATGCCATGTCATATAGTATATGACATCTTTGCTTTTAATTACCTTTTTTTTTTTTTTTTTTTTTTTTTTTTACTGAGAACTTGGCAGTGTAATGCATTCTTACCCAACTAGCAAACTAATTTCATTTTTGTTTCATGACTAATTTGTTACCTGTTCTAAATTTTACTGTGATTTCTTTTTAATATTTTTTCTATTTTTGAAAATTTATAGTATTTTTCAATTAGACATTCTACTTTGCTATCTTTACTCTAAGTCCAACGTGATCTAAATTTTAATATTTTACTAAAAAAGAAATTAACTGGTAATATTATATTAATACTTTTAGTCTAGTCTCTCTTGATGGATGTTAATTACTTTTTCTTTGTTTGTTTTGTTAATCTAGAAACGGCTGGTTTTAGTCAAATACATCACTATCTGTTAAAAGAAACCAGACCTGAAATGGAAGTAGAAATCTAATGTATGAAGACACAGAAACTGCTTCAGTTGACTCAAAATGGGAACAAGTGAAGAGATGGTATCGGTGGAACACACCTCCTCGTCCTTCAATCCTCTGTGTTTTGAATGTGGTCAGCAGCACTGGACAAGAGAAAATCACTTGTATAATTACCAGAATGAAGTGGATGATGACCTGGTCTGCCATATTTGCCTTCAGCCTCTATTACAGCCATTAGACACCCCCTGTGGACACACATTCTGCTGCAAGTGCCTCAGAAACTTCTTACAAGAGAAAGATTTCTGTCCATTGGACCGAAAAAGACTTCACTTTAAGTTGTGTAAGAAGTCTAGTATTCTAGTTCATAAACTTCTGGACAAATTATTAGTTGCATGTCCTTTTTCTTCAGTGTGCCAGGATGTAATGCAGCGCTGTGATCTGGAGGCACATCTTAAAAACAGGTAAGTAAAAAATATGAAAGAAAGAAAAAGTGATTCTAGGTTTTATAAAATGGCTGTTCAAAAACTTGATTAAAAATATACCAAGGCATCAATAAATAAATGAACAAATAAAATACAAGAGATACAATAAATGAATAAGTTGTTTGGAATATCGGTTTTATAAAAAAAAAAAAAAGCATGAATATAAAAACTGTGGTAAGGAAGTACCATTTTATACCTATTAATGATTTTGCTGGTAAAATATGAAGGTACTATATATACATGGGTAGCAGGATATAATGATATACCCTTTTGCAAGACATTTAGAAAACTGTAATTGTAAATATCCTTTTATCCATATTATTATCCTAAGAAAATAATCCACAAAAAGGAAAGATTGTATATAAGGATGTTCATTGTCACATTGAGCATAGTTCAGTAAATTGGACTCAATCTAATTAACAGTAGAGGAAGAGTTAAAAACAGTAGTGCATCAACTCAATGGGATATTATGCAGCCAATAAAAATGATAGATTTGTTGTAACATGGAAACTGTGAGGGCACATATAGTAGGCAACTGATCGATTTTTCTCTCCTCGCCTTCCCACTTCCTCTCTCTCTAAAAGTCAATAAACATATCCTTGGGTGAGGATTATTTTTAAGAAGATTCTGCATTTAGGGACTAGTCTGAATAAGAACTCAAGGTGGAAATTTTAAAACACTTAGGTTTTATTTTTATCCTAACAAAAACTTTTTAAAAGGTTAAATAATTTTTTTAAATATATTTTATTGATTTTTTACAGAGAGGAAGAGAGAGGGATAGAGAGTTAGAAACATCGATGAGAGAGAATCATCGATCGGCTGCCTCTTGCACACCCCCTACTGGGGATGTACCTGCAACCAAGGTACATGCCCTTCACCAGAATTGAACCCGGGACCTTTCAGTCCACAGACTGACGCTCTATCCACTGAGCCAAACCGGTTTCGGCTAAAAGGTTAAGTGATTTATTTAGCTGATTATTTAGTGAGATTTATAATTTGACTTTGGTAAAATTCTTGATCTTTAAATTTATCTATACCCTTAGACGGAATAAAATACATCGCATGTCTTTTTTTTTTTTTTTTTTAATATATTTTATTGATTTTACACAGAGAGGAATTGAGAGGGATAGAGAGTTAGAAATGTTGATGAGAGAGAAACATCGACCAGCTGCCTCTTGCACACCTCCCACTGGGAATGTGCCCACAACCAAGGTACGTGCCCTTGACTGGAATCGAACCTGGGACCTTTCAGTCCACAGGCCGATGCTCTATCCACTGAGCCAAACCGGTTTTGGCACATCGCATGTCTTAAGTAGGTCGAATCACATAAAGTGACAGAAATGTACTCATTTCTAAATTTCAAATTTAAGTCACTTGTGTAGTATAAAGCTGCAGCAATTTTAAGTTATATGAAAACAATTGAGTACAATACAGGGTGGGGCAAAAGTAGGTTTACAGCTGTTTGTGTGGAAAATACAACCTATATATATAAAAAGCCAGTGACCACAACACCATAATTGGAACAACAGTAGCTATGATACCCACTGTGGCCAGCAAACCAGCCCAATCGTGGGTGGGGCTAGCTGGCCAATCCTCCACAGCCCTTCCCCCCCCCAGCCAGCCCCAACCTCCATGGGCCCCCACCACCCTGATCCACCTGCAGCCCCCGGCCAGCCCCACCCCTGATTGCCCCTCTCTACCCCAATGGGGAACAAGGTCGGCAAGCCAACCTCCTTCAGCCCCTTCCCTGACCTGGCCCCACCCCAGATCACCCCCCCACCCCAATTAGGGGCAGGGCTGGCCAGCCAACCACCCATGGCCCTTCCCTCAGGCTGCTGGCTCCGATTGGCTCCCCCAACCACATTCAGGGGCAGGGCCAGCCAGCCCACCATCCACAGCCCCTCCCCACAGCCAGCCCCACCCCAATCAGCCTGCAGCCACTCCCCCAACCAGCTCCACCCCCACTGGCCCCCCACATATAGTACCAGTCAGGGTTGGGGCTGGCTGGCCAACCTCCCCTAGCCTCTAACCCCTGATTAACCCCACCCCATTCAGGGGTGGGGCTGGCCAGCCCACTACCCAGTCACTCCCCACAGCTGGCCCCACCCCCATTTGGCCTCCCCCACCCAATCAGGAGCAGGGCCTTTTTGCCAATTGCCCAGCCCTGATGAGCCCCTATCAGGGTTGGCCAGCCAGCCAACCTCCCACTGTCTCCTCCTCCCAGGAGATCCACCCTGATTTGGGCTGGGCCGGCCAGACCCCACCCATGCACAAATTTGTGCACTGCACCACTAATTAATAAATAATACAAGAATAAACTATTTCATGTTCTCAAAAAAAGCTTCCTATAGTAGATTTAGAAATACCGTGTTTCCCCGAAAATAAGACATGCTCCGAAAATAAGACCTAGCACATGGAAAAATAAGACATCCCCTGAAAATAAGACCTAGCGCATCTTTGGGAGCAATAGTTAATATAAGACACTGTCTTATTTTCAGGGAAACAGGGTAGTATAAATCTGGCATAGAGTAACTTTTCATTACATTCACACATAAAATCATAGAATTTAAAGAGATTAATTTCACTTTACAAATCAGGAAACTGAGTTACAAATACATAGTGCTAATTAATAATATAGTTAGACTTAAACGTCCATATTCTTCTTTACTATTCTAATATGCCATGCTGACTTTTCCACAGGTTGAATCATGTTCTCTACTGCTATGTTGTCCCATGCACCAAAGGGTCATGGGTTCAATTCCTGGTCAAGGGCACATACCTGGGTTACAGGTTCAATCCCCAGCCCCTGGTCAGGGTGAGTGCAGGAGGCAACCAATTGATGTGTCTCTATCACATTATTTCTCTCTCTCTCTCTCTTTCTCTCTCTCTCTCTCTCTATATATATATATATATATATATATGTATATGTATGTGTGTGTGTGTGTGTGTGTATGTATGTGTGTGTATATAACTGCCCCCCTCCCCACTCTCTTCTCTCTAAAACTCAATGGAAATGCATAAATTTTATCACCAGCAAGTGATTCATTGTATAAAAGTTATGATGTCTTTGTTCTTGAATTTTTAGGATTTGACCCACTGACTTTTCAGCTACAACTAAAACTATTTGTGAAAGACGAATGTGTTTTTAAATAAAATTACTAGTTATTAACAGATTGTATGTTAGTAAAACTATGAAGAATTTGAAGACATGAAAAAGTACACTTCTTTGAAAGGAGACTTAAAACATTAAAGAAATATTCTGTATATTGTACTAAGCATATTACATTTTAGTAGTTACTTTGTGAGATTCTGCCAAACACCATCAACTTTAAAACATCCCTCCTCCCCTGCTCTACACCTCTTTCCTGCCTCACCCTCAACAATTTAACATGTAAAGCTTATAAGAATTGTAAATATTATATTTTTGTTGTTAAATTGAGCATTGTGCCCTAGTTTATGACAAGATTCAGGATTATTTTACTTTCCTCTTTAAAAAACATAATAATTTAACATTCTGGTAAAAAGTGTGTACACTATAGAGAAAATCTTTAAAGAAGTCTTTTTCCATGCTGAGACCTTTCCTAGATCATCAAATGGTATTTTTGTTTGTTTGTGTTTTGTTAATCCTTACCCATTGATATTTTTAGAGAGAGTGCAAGGGAAGAAGGGATGTGGAGAGAGAGAGAGAGAGAGAGAGAGAGAGATATCAATGTGAGACACATCAATTGTTTGCCTCCCACACACGCCTCCACTGGGATCAGAGATGAACCTGCAACCCAGGTTGACCTGGGACTCAAACAGGGACCCTTCAGTGCGTGAGCCCATGCTCTATCTACTGAGCCAATTTTCTGAGCCACAATAGCCAAGTTTCATCTAATGGTTTTAAAGTCTTTATGGGTCAGGATAGGCTGAGGCAAGATTGCTCTTTTACATTCACATTTTAGCTTGGAGGGAAATTTGAATTTGGCACATTTTTTAAAATAAAATTTTATTGATTTCAGAGAGGAAGAGAGAGGGAGAGAGAAATAAAAAGCGTTAATGATGAGAGAGAATCATTGATTGGCTGCATCCTGCACGCCCCTCACTGGGAATCAAGCCTGTAATCCAAGCATATGTCCTTGACCCTTCAATCTCAGGCCAAAGCTCTATCCACTGAACCAAACCAGCTAGGGTTAGTTTGGCACATTCTTACCAATATCCATTTCTCATATATAATGTAAAAAACAGATTACATTTTATATATACATGTGTATATATATGTGTGTGTGTGTGTGTGTGTGTGTATTCAAATCATGTATCTGGTAAGAGTCTAGTATCCAGGCTATATAGGGTTCTTATCCTATCTAATAAAAGACTATTATGCAAATTGACTTTACCTCTGCTACACCCATAAACCATGCCTACTAGCCAATCAGGAGCAAGAATGCAAATTAACCCAACCAAGATGGCTGTGGCCACGGAACGAGCAGAAGGCTTGGGTTTCCGCTGCAATGGAGGAAGCCACGCTTTCTGTCTGCCCTGGCCTGCCCTGCCTTCTCTCAAGGCTATAAAGTTTCAATTATAGAAGATAAATAAATCTCAACAAAAAATGGTGGGAGCCACGGAGCTGGAGAGAGCAGGCTTGAGTTGCCCCTGGCAATGGAGGAAGCCAAGCTTCCTGGCCTGCCATGGCCTCTACTCAAGGCTACAAAGTTTCAATTATAGAAGATAAATCCCAACAAGAATGGCTGTGGCCACAGAGTGAGCAGGAGGCTTGGGTTTCCCCAGCGATGGAGGACACCAACCTTTCCTAATGCCCTGGCCTGCCCTGGCCTCTGCTAAAGACAACAAAGTTTCAATTATAGAAGATAAATAAATCCCAGATCCCAGGGCCTCCACTTGGGTCGCTGGGGGATGTAGCCAGCCTGCAAACCACCACAGGCCCCTCTCCCGGGCCGCCACATGCCCCAAGGGAACTCCCAACCTGATCTAGGACACACTTCAGGGCAAACCAGCCAGCCCCCACCCATGCACCAGGCCTCTATCCTATCTAATAAAAGAGTAATATGTAAATTGACCATCACTCCAACACACAAGATTGCTGCCCCCATGTAGACACAAGATGCCAGCAGGGGAGGGCAGTTGTGGGCAATCAGGCCAACAGGGGAGGGCAGTTGGAAGGGACCAAGTCGGCAAGGGAGGGCAGTTGGGGGCAATCAAGCCTGCAGGGGAGAGCAGTTAGGGGTGACCAGGTCAGCAGGGAACGGAAGTTTGGGGGCACCCAGGCCTGCTGGGCAGAGCAGTTGGGGGGCACCAGGCCTGCAGGGGAGGGCAGTTAGGGGCAAATAGGCTGGCAGGGGAGCAGTTAGGTATCAATCAGGCTTTCAGGGGAGTGGTTAGGGGATGATCAAGCTGGCAGGGAGAAACGGTTAGGGGCAATAAGGAAGGCAGGCAGGCAGGCAAGCAGTTGGGAGCCAGTCCTGGATTGTGAGAGGGATCCCAGATTGGAGAGTGTGCAGGCTGGACTGAGGGACCTCCCCACCCCTGGGTTATAAATTTCATGCACCAGGCCTCTAATAGTTAATAAAAACTCAAGTCATTCAGTTTTTTTGTTTTGTTTTTTTGTTTATGTTCATTTAAGGATATATTTTCCATTGATTTCTAAAGAGAGTGCGGGGCGTGGGGGGGAGAAAAACATTGATGTGACAGAGACAGATTGTTTGGTTGACTCCTCCATTGATATCTTGACTGGGGGCTGGATATCAAACCTACAACCCAGTTATATACCTTTGACCTCGAATGGAATCCATGACCCTTTGGTGCTTGGGCCAACACTCAATAATTGTCTAGGGCTCAAGTCATTCAATTTTAAGTGGACAAAGGGTCTGAATAGATATTTCTTCAAGGATATTTGAATGGCCAATAAGCACATGAACAAATGTTCAAAATTATTAGTCCATTTTTATAATGGATTGTTGTGTTTTTGTCAGTTTTTAGCATTTTATGTAAATTCTGGTTATAGAACCTTATTACATACAGTTTTTAAATATTTTTTTCGCATTCTATCGATTGTCTTTTTACTTTTCTATGTCCTTTCAAGAACAAACACGTTTAATTTTTATGAAGTTCAGTTTATCTGTTTTTTCTTTGTTTGCTTGGTTTTGGTACCACATCTAAGAAATCATTGCCTACTCCAAGGTCAAGAAGATTTACACTAAGACTTTTTTAGTTATAGCTCTTATATTTTGGTCTTTGATCCATTTTGAATTAATTGTGATTGGAGAACATGCTATGTACAACTCAAACCTTTCAGTTTTGTTTGTTATTTTGTTTTTTTTTGTTTTTTAATTTATTGAATTTTTACAGAGAGGAATTGAGAGGGATAGAGAGTTTGAAACATCAATGAGAGAGAATCATCGATCAGCTGCCTCTTGCACACCCCCTACTGGGGATGTGCCCGCAACCAAGGTACATGCCCTTGACCAGAATCGAACCCGGGACCTTTCGGTCCACAGGCCGACGCTCTATCCACTGAGCCAAACTGGTTTCAGCTCAAACCTTTCAGTTTTATTGAGGCTCTTTTTTATGGCCTAGCATATGGTCTATCCTGGAAAATGCTTCTTGTCTACTCCAGAAGAATGTGTATTCCTCTATTGATGGGTGAAGTGTTCTATAGATATCTATTAGGTTAGTCTGTTTTTTCTTATTTTTATACCTAGTTGTTTCTATTATTGAAAGTAGGGTACTGAAATCTTAGATTACTATTGTTGAATTATTTATTTTAATTCTATATATTTTTTAAAATATATATTTTATTGATTTCAGAGAGGGAGAGAGATAAAAACATTAATGATGAGAGAGAACCATGGATTGGCTGCCTCCTACACAATCCCTAGTGGAGATCGAGTCCACAACCAGGAATCAAACCAGGAACTCCTGGTTCATAGGTCAACCGCCAAGCCATGCCAGCTGGGCAATTCTATAATTTTTGCTTCATGTATTTGGGGATGTGTTGTGGTTATGTTTATAATTGTCATAACATTAATAAATTGAACCTTTCATGTTGTAAAATGTTCTTTTCACTAGAAATAATTTTTGTCTTAAAGTTTATCGTGTCTGAAGTTAGTATACCCACATAGTCCTCTTTAAGATACTATTTGTGCCCTCGCCGGTTTGGTTCAGTGGTAGACCTGTGGGCTGAAGGGTTCTGGGTTTAATTCCAGTCAAGGGCACATGCCCAGGTTGTGGGCTCAGTACCTGGTAGGGGGTGTGCAGGATGCAGCCAATGATTCTCTCTCATCATTGATGTTTCTATCTCTTTCTCCTCCCTTTCTCTTTGAAATCAATAAAAAAATATATATTTTTTAAAAATACTATTTGCCTGGTGTATCTTTGTTTCTTCTTTTAATTTTTACCTATTTGTGTCTTTGAATCTGATGTGTGTCTTCTTATAGTCGATATATAGTTGATCATGTTTTCTTTTTAATCTGTTCTGCCAATCACTGACTTTTTTTTTTTAAATATATTTTTAATTGATTTTTCACAGAGAGGGATAGAGAGTTAGAAACATCGATGAGAGAGAGTCATTGATCAGCTGCCTCTTGCACACCCCCTACTGGGGATGTTTCCGCAACCACGGTACATGCCCTTGACTGGAATCGAACCCGGGACCCTTCAGTCCGCAGGCCGACGCTCTATCCACTGAGCCAAACTGGTCCCGGCCAATCACTGACTTTTGATTGGAGTGTTTAATTTGTTTATATTTGATATAATTACTGATAAAGTAAGATTTATGTCTGCCACTTTGCTACTTGCTTCTGTATCTCATTTCTATTTGTTTATTCCTCCAGTTTTTCCCTCTTATGTTAAATAGATATTTTTTAGTATGTCATTTTAATTCTTTTGGCATTTCTGTTCATATATATACATTTCTAAATTTATGAGAGAGAGACAGACAGACAGACATGGATGTGCGAGATAAAACATCAATCAGTTGCCTCCTATATACCTTCCCCTCACCACCACCACCAGGGATCAAAATCACAACTTAGGTATGTGTCCTGCCTGGGAATCCAACCCCCCGGACCTTTTGGTATATGGGGCAATGCTCCAACCAACTGAGCAACAGCGGCCAGATATATAGTTTTTTGTTTTGTTTTCTTAGTGTTTGTGCTAGGGATTACAATTAACATTGTAATTTATAACAATCTATCTCAGATTAATACTAATTTAATTTCACTGGTATATAAAAACTCATATATAGCTCCATTCCTTCCTCCTGCCTCTGTGCTGTTATGGTTATACAAATTACATCTTTATGCATTATATATTGATACCTATAAAAACAGAATTAAAATTATTTTTGAGGTTGTCTTAAACCAGATATAACAAAAAAAGAACTATAAAAATATGTTTAGGCTGTTTTCATATGTATTTATGTGACTTTCCTCAGTGTCAGTGCTATTTATTTCTTCATGTGGATTGTGTTGCTGTCTAAATACCTTTCATATCAATTTGAAGGAGTAGTATTTCTTGTATGGCAGATTTGCTAGTAACAAAATCTTTGTTTTTGTTTACTAGTATCTGGGAATGTCTTCAGTTCTCATGTTTTTGAAGGATAGTTTTGCTGGATATAGAATCCTTGGTTGAAAGTCCTGTGATTTTTTCGTTGTTTTGTCTTCTTTTTCTTTTTAGCAGTTTGAATATGTCATCCATGCCTTCTGATTTCCATGATTTCTGAAATTAGCTGCCAGTTTTATTGAGGATCACTTCTATGTAATGAGATATTTCTCTCTTGCTGCTTTCAAGAATCATCATACTTGGGAAGATTTTGGTTATTTTGTGTTTAAATATTCTTTCTGCCCCTTTCTCTCTGACTTTTTGTGGCACTCCCATTATACATATCTAATATTTTTTATAGTGTCTCACAGGTTTTTGAGACTCTATCCATTCTTTTATTTTTTCTTTCTATTCCTCAGACTGGTAATCTCAATTGACCTAACTTCAAGTTCACCAATTCTTTCTTCTGCCTGTTCAAATCTGCTGTGAGTTCTTAATTTCATTTATTCATTTTTTTTAATACAGAATTTCTCTTTGGATTTTATTATAACATATTTCTGTATTGATATTTTTATTTGGTAAAACAATCTGATATTTTCCTTGGGTTTTTAGACATGGTTCCTTTGTTCTTTGAACACCTTTGTAATATTTTATTTAAGTCATGTCTAGTGACAAGGCAAATGTCTGGGGACAGTTTCTATTGACTGCTATTTTTCCTGTGTGTGGGCCATACTCATTTGTTTCTTTGGATGTTTTTAACATTTTTATTGAACACTTGACATTTTAAATAATGTAATATAGAAACTCTGGAAATCAGATTATTCATTCTTTTTCAGGTCTTGTTTTGCTGTTTGTTGTCTGTTTGTCCAGTGACATTTATAAACTACAAAATTCTACAAAATCTTTGCTCAGCTTATGGCCAGCTAATGGTCAGACAGGTAATTCCTTAAATGCCTGTGACCAATAAATTTCCCAGTGTTTCTGAGGGATTCTGTGTTCATGGTGGGGCACATCTTCAACACTCAGACAATAGACAATTCCTCCTTAGCCTTCATTGCTGGTTTTCACAAAATGTCAATATTAGCCAGAAATGAGAGCTAAGTGCCTTCTCAACTATTTCAGATGCATGCACACAGTCTGGACATGTCAGAACCCCTATGGAAATTTCTATCCCTAGTTTTAAAAAACAATAACACTTTTGATTAGCCTTTTTTGCCCACCTCAGGCAGCCACAATCTTAAACAGTTGACTCTGACTTTTTCCCCCAATGAATGCCCCCAAGTGTAAAGGTTGATTTTACTGGGTGAGCTCCAAGTCAGGTTAGTTAAAAGACATCTTATGGGTGGAGTCTTTCAAGGAGCCAACAGGTCAATTAGTAATGACAATTCTCTAGAAATGGGGCTTTGAAAGCATGCCAGTTTACACTTTCAATGTCTGCCAAACTGTGATTATGGACAATTGTTTTTCCAGGCTTTTGTGGAGCTAAGGAGTTGGGGACCAGAACAGGGCGTTTAATGCCATAGAGCTCACTGTACTGAAATTTAGACATTTTTCTTGAATACTGGTAAACACACTTTGGCTTGCTACCAAACTTTGGCTAATTTCAAGAACTCAAAAATAGTTGGATCTAACAGTGTTTGCCAGTGTTCTCTTTGCTTTATGAAGGAGAGGCTTTTCAGGTACCTTTAACCTACCATTTTCACTGACATCACTTTATTTTTGCATATTTTAATCCACAACTATTTTTATCATTTTTCTTTTTAAAAAAAAAATATTTGTATTGATTTCAGAAAGGCAGAGGGAGAGAGAGATAGAAGCATCAATGATGAGATACAATCATCGATCAACTGCCTCCTACAGACCCCACGGTGGGGACCAAGCCCGCAACCCAGTATGTGCCCTGGCATCGAACTGTTACTTCTTGGTTCAACAGTTGATGCTCAACCACTGAGCCACACAGGTCGGGCTCACTTTTCTTGTTTCTAAGATGCTCATATTATTTGAGTTTTATTACGTACTTGTCATTGTGCTGGCATTTACCATGCATTGTGTTTTATTTTACTTCTAACCATGCATTGTTTCGTTTTATTTTATTTCTATTACAGCTGTCCCACCACTGACACTAATACTACTACTAATAAGATAGTGTATTCAGTTGCACTGTATATTCCCCAATGTGAATCATAGTTGTATCTGGGAATGATGCAACTATATCATAAGTTTTATGTAATTTTGTCTCCATAAGAAGAGCCATACTAATAAGAATGGAAGTATAACCTTCAGCAGAAAGGGAAAAAGTCCCTCAGTTTGGTTCTGGTTGCTATAAGAGCTTTTTGATCTTATTTTTAAAATTTTAAAAACAAAACTGCAATAGAGCGGCCCCCCTGGGAAATTCATACTGCCTCTATCGCCTCTTTTAAGGGCAGACTACCGTCTCAGAGGTACACTTCCATTTGCATTGTCTGAGAAGTTAAATGTTGCATGTATTTTGTTTCCGTTGTTTTTATTTATTTGTAATATCTTCTATACTAGATTTCTGCTACAATGAGTTATCTGCTTGAATAATCCAAGTTATGTCCCTTAATGCCAGTTGCAGTTTGTATTGTATTGTTAAATACTCCATTTAATAAGATGCATGGGTTTTTGTTGTTGTTTATGATTTTGGTGTTTTTTTTTTAGTGATCACCAAGGCCTTTCTCATTCTTACATTCTATAATTGTGATTCTAAGTACAAGTTTCTGGAACAAACTCAATTTATAAGACCTAGAGAAAGAACTCCATAAGAATGAATTTAGTGTGACAAAGTGGAAACAGAAAACATCTTTGAAATCAGATCTGAGAGTGTTTTAAATGGCTCTACAATTTAACAACGATGTGATGGTGCCTTAGTTGACTTTCAAATTTCCCATTTTGTAAAATTGGGATAATAGAGTGATTGTGAGGATTCACTAAAATTCTGTATGTAAAGGTTTTTACATGTGACGGGCACATATTAGATGCTTTACAAATGTTGGTTTTTCTTCATTTTCTTTCAGTTTCAAATATTTGCAAACTTTAGGAATGATGGCTGTGAGTTGTCTGTCTGGTCTGGGCTTTTCTCTGGCCAAACCTGCTCTGATCTATTCATTCCATATAGTCTTTTTTTTGGGGGGAGGGGGGGGGGAGTTTATTGAGATATATTTCATATACTATAAAAGTCAATCTATTTTTAAAGTGTACACTTTAGTAGTTTTTAGTATATTCCAGAAGTATACAGTCATCATTACAATCAAATTTTTAGACCATTTTCAACACTCCATAAAGAAATCTCATCCCCATTAGCAGCCATTCCAATTCCCAGGTGTACAGGTTTTGCATGGTCTTTCTCAATTCTCCTACTCACTTAAGCCCTGTAATTCTTAGTGTGATGTTTTTGTAATAGATGCTTGTATTAAGGTAACAGAAATGCTGGCATTATAGTTTGGGCTCTTGCCCTTAGCATCAGAAGTGTTCGTTCTGGGGTCACCATGACTTTTTCAATACTTAATCAAACTAATGCTTTTTGGTCTTTATCTTATTTGTCTCTTATGTGGTACGTGTGTTATTGGCCACTTTTTCTTTGGCAACACTCTTGTCTCCCTTGATTACTTGGAAGTCTTGCTCTCATTGTCTCCTCTTGTCTAGTTGTTTTTTCTCAATCTACTCATCTATTCCAACTTATTTCAATACTACAGGCCTGGTGCATGAAATTTGTGTATTGGGGCGGGGGGAGGGGTGGTCCCCCAGCCTGACCTGCACCCTCTCCAATCCGGGAACCCTAGGGATGTCCTCTGTTTGGGCACTCGGGCCCCTCTCACACCAGCTTTGAGAGGCCAAGCGACAATGCAGCTGTGTCTTGCCTACGGTGGCCTGCGCCTCCCTGCTCCAAGTAGGGGACCACTGCGTTGTGTGCACACGTGAGGCTTTTCTCCTGTTGCATGCTGAAGGGAGAGGGGAAGGCCTTTCTCGTCCCCGAGAGTGCTCCCACACCTCGACCGGCTCTCTGTCCACTCCCGTCCCGATTTCACAGGCAGCAGACGTGCTTGTGCAGGCATAGTTGGGGCCTGGCTTGCCCTCAGGGGGCGTTCGCCCAGGATGCGAGCCCCCAACGGGTCAGACCGGGCAGATGAATGGATGGACGGCTGGAGAAAGCCATAGTGACTTCCCTGTGGTGTGAGGATTGCCTGTGGTTTCCATGGTGGCAGGAGGAGGCTTTGAGGTTGTGCGCTTGGGAGGATCGACCAGTGTCCCAGGCATCATGGGGCTGCCCTGTGTGTCTGTGGCAGTAGGATCTACATGTTGTTTACCCAGTGGCCCATCCAGGTCCGGTGCCTTATCCTGATGTCCACTCTCTGTCATCACGCCCAGGCCCTTTCTTCATTTGGGTCCACACCCTCTCAACTTGAATGTGCAACCCCTCCCAGGAGTCACCACCAATGCTCGCACGCCCCAGTTGGTGTCTGCTGACCGTGCTTCGAGAACTGGCCTTCTGTCGTGTGGGTGTCATCCCTCGCCGCCCCCACCTCAGGCAAGGGGTTGGTGGTATCCCCAGGCAGAGTGTCACAAGGGTGTTTGTCGGGCGCATGCACCCGGGAGAAAAAGAGGATTCCGGGCAGGGGACACAGCCTCATTCCTCGGCCCAGTGCTTGGGGCAGGGAAGCGAGCCTCATGCAAGTCCCCTTGCTGCGTGCACAGCCTGTTGAACAGTCATTACTGTGATGCCATAATGGACAATTTACGTATATAGACTAGAGACCCAGTGCACGGAATTTGTACAAGGGTAAAGTCCCTAGGCCTGGCCAGTGATCAAGGCCGATCTGTGGGGTAACTGGCAGGGTGATTGCCCCTCCGCCGCCCCCCCACCCCCCCCGCACCTACCTTGGCGCTGCCTTCTCATCAGCCCCACCCCCTGCCACCACCACTGGTAGCCTCCCTCCACTGGGGTGACTGGTGGGGCGATCGGGGAGCCCCGCCCCTGATCACCCTACCACCACCATCAGTCACCTTCCTCTGCAGGAGCCCCCCAGCCTACTCACTGACCAGTCCCGCCTGCCAATTGCCCCACTGCTGCTGCCAGTCACCTCCCTCTGCAGGGTGGCCAGCGGGTGATCAGGGGGGCCTCCACTGACACCCGCCTTGGCCGGCCTGGGGCTTGCGGGTTGGGGGAAGCTCCTGGTGATCAGTGTGCATCATAGCAACTGGTTGTTCCACTGTTTGGTTGATTTGCATATTAGGCTTTTATTATATAGGATGGTTATTCTCAAAGGTAGTGTTCTCCAGTGCTGGCTAAGTTCTCTCTTTTGTATTTTCACATGATATTTAAAAGTATCTTTATTTAGTTCCTATTAGCAATTTGCTGCCCCATTGGGACTTTAAGTATACTTGCTTTTTTGCCTCTCAAACAACTTTAGATTTTTTTAAATTAATTTTTCATTTTTAACAATAAGATAGGCTTTGTAGTTATTTAGTTTATAGGAGTTTTTTGTGTGTAAGCTAGGCTAATTCCCAGTGTTCACATTCTATTTGTATTTCCCTTTCCTAATTCATGTTTTTCATTGAAGACTAGCTATTGCACATGTATATATTTCTGTATGATATACATTTTGGAACTCGTATATTTATCTGTTTAGTCACAAATATTTTTTATGATACAGTTTTGTCTCAATTTTTTTTATTGAAGTAAATATTTTTAAATGCATTTCTAAATAAATATACTTACAAAAATGGTTTTTCAGTGATACCATTTTCAAACTTATTTGTCAAGCCCTTGTAGGAACATTCCCTAGAGTGCTGCTCAGCAGTGCAGTAAGGAAAGTCAGCCATCTTCTTAATGAGGGGAAGAGAAAATCACTAGTGGGAGAAAGTTGAGTAAAAACTTCTTAATGATTCTTTTAAAGAACTTGAAATCCGGGACTTAAATCTTTAGTTCATGAGGGAAATTTTATTTCTATTATACTTAAGAGATAGATTGCCATTTTAATTTAATTTAATCCTATACTTAATTTTTATCAAAATGCTACATTGTTAAACAATATTGTCATTGAATGAAGATCTACAACCCTAGACATAAAATTGTGTGCCTGCTTACCCAACACGGTGTCTGAGTCAAGTTGGGCTGTAGGATGTACATCTAGCTCTCCACTAATTCCCTCTCCTTCTCCCACCATTCAAACTGTGCATTAGTCATGTTCTCCAGTAAACGGGTCAGGTAGAAAAGACCCTTCTAATATCTGTGTAAATTTTATTTAAATGTTTAAACAAGCACTTTTGTGCCCTTTTATTTGCTTAAATAAATAAAATCAAACAAATACTTCATATTTCTTAATGTTTATGTAAGTTTCCCAGATACTTGGAATATATGTTTAACTTAGCATAGCTGTAATTCCACAATTGCAATTCTAATTTTACAAACTAGGATATATGTTTTCTTTATTTCCTTCCATGTCTGTTATACAGTTATTTGGGCCTTTGCTATGTTTTCCTACAAATTGTAAACCTTCAATGTTTTGCTATCATTAATGAGTAAATGTTCGACATTGGCTGTGAGAGTGCAGAGTCAGGCATATGGGCATTAAGGTCTAAGCGCTTAAGGGCTTATTGAGAAAGAAGAATATGATTTCCAGTCCAGTCCAGGCAGTAAACCTGTAGAAAGGGTTGTACTCAGAATAAGTCTTGTAGGATTGAGACAACAATACTGTATACTATACTGGTGTGTATGTCTCTGGTACTAATATATGCTCAAATTTTTATTGAAACATTCTTTGAGATATATACCAAACCATTGTTTATGCTGACGCCTTGTTTTAAATTCACTATGTAAAGTGGTAAGAACTTACTTCAAGTGGAATTATAACTTATGGATACCTCTAGGTGCTTTGTGCAATAGAAGCCACTGACATTCTTTTGTTGTGATATGAGCCATTAGTCACTTTTTTCTCCTTTCAAATAATCTGGAAACCACCTGATATTTTCTTTCTAGATGTCCTGGAGCTTCTCATCAGAGAGTTGCCTTAGAGAGAAGGAAAACCAGCAAAACTCAGACAGAGACTGAAAATGAAAATGGAACCACTATAATAGATCTCCCAGGTACCTCTCCTCCCGAAACGGACTGCTCAGGGACAGGCACAGCGCCTGCCGAACGGAACTTGACCTCAGCCTCTCTTCCTGTATGGACTGAGGAGCCTGGCCTGGACAACCCCGCCTTCGAGGAGAGCACCATTGCTGATAGTATGTGCTAGTCACCTCTTTCTTTTCTGTTTTCAAATCGGACATTTGCTTCCTCCTTACTTCCTCCTCCGATTTTCCAACGTGTATTTTTTTCCCTCTTAAAAAAATGATTTTATTGAGATAGGATGGAATCACCCTAAGTTTATAATTCGAACAATTGGCATTTTAGAAGCAGAACATGATCTTTACCCTGGAAGAAGGTGCCCCCACCCTCTTCTGTTATAGTTCATGAATTTGCTAGTCATTAACAGCTTCTTGTTTGCTCCTGTGTTCAGACTTTGTTGCTTTTTGACTAAAAAATCAGTAACATCAAGAATGGCAAAAACAATACCTTGGATTAAGTGCTTGTTCTGTGTCAGGCCCTGGGCCAAGCACTTCATATAAATTAACTGATTAAGTGCTTGTTACAATATTATGGGGTTATTATTTTTTTAATGGTGAGAAAATTGAGTCTTTGAGAGATTAATTGGTCAAGCTCATACTGTTAAGAAATGGCTGGATATCTGTCTCCAAAGCCACACTGTGACTACTGCACTCTGCTGTCAGTCACTAATCCGACTGTACAAACCCACTAGGAGCAAACAGAAAGCCTGTAGTCCTAGATATTGGGCATATCTCTTGGAATTTACTTTTAAATATGATTTTCCCTTAAAATTTTTAAGTTTTACTAAACATTTCCAATTTTCCCTGCCATAGCTAGAACTTTTTTCATCTATAAAGGCTCACCATCCACCTCTTACAGCTCTCCTACAGCTGTGATTACTCGCTCAGCATCTGTAGTGATTACATAGCACAGTTATTTTTTTCCTTAAACTGCCTTGCATGTTCACATTTGTTAATGGTTCAGACTTTCTCTTATCAGTTAGAACAAGATGACTGTCTTTTAATATTTCTTTATCAGATCATTGTACCTTCCCTAGTTATCTGATACATGGTAGCTATTTGTTGTTTATATACTGATCACCTTCGGAAGAGGAAATGTTTAGATAATATTAACATATAGATATTTTGTCACTATCTTTTTCTTTTCCAGTGGTATCATTAGTTATTAGTCATATATTAACATAAGATGGCTTATTTACCTGAAGAACCTCAAAATATAAAACATTTATTTTCTTTCTTTTTTCTTTCTCATTTTTAACTTCGCAGCCACACAACAACCACCTAGTTTACCAGAAGGTGAAATCACCACGATTGAAATTCACCGATCTAATCCTTACATTCAGTTAGGAATTAGCATCGTGGGTGGCAATGAAACACCACTGATTAACATTGTTATCCAGGAAGTCTATCGGGATGGGATAATTGCCAAAGATGGAAGGCTCCTTGCTGGAGACCAGATTCTTCAGGTACCAATTTTAATTCTGTTAATTTGTATCATTTCGTTCTTATTCATAAATTTAAAACTTGAAAATTCATGGTGCTGTGGAACCTAAAGTATATGAATGTGAGTATATTCTTATATGTAAAATATTAGGATTTTATAATTTCTTCTGATTCCCCATATATTTTATGGAATTTTTTTTTCCTACCTTAATTTCAATCCCAAATATGTAACACATTTTACACATAAGGAAACACACTCAAATAAGTTCTATAATGACCCTCGGTCATCCAGCTAGTACATAGCAGAACAAAGGATGCTAATTCAAGACTATCATTAATGCTGTAATCCTAACTACTATTCTCTATTTAATGCTAATTATAAGTTAATTTTAGGAATTCTGTACTTTAAAATGTCTTTAGAGTGGATTTCTTTGTAAATAATGATTGTATATCATTTTTACAATATTAGTTTCCTAGGGAAATGTTATTTCTATAAATAGGAGGGGGGAATATAGTCACAGTATGATCATAATTCTTTTTTGTTTTTAGGTCAACAACTATGATATTAGCAATGTGTCGCACAACTATGCCAGGGCTGTCCTTTCACAGCCCTGCAGCACCCTACAGCTCACTGTGCTACGAGAGAGGCGCTTCGGTAACCGAGTGACTAGCCATTCTGATGGGAACTCTCCACGAGAAGAGATTTTCCACGTGGTTCTTCATAAACGAGACTATGGTGAACAGCTTGGCATCAAACTTGTACGACGGACGGATGAGCCAGGAGTTTTTATTCTTGACCTGCTGGAAGGGGGGCTTGCTGCGCAGGATGGGCGACTCAGCAGCAATGACCGGGTGCTCGCCATCAACGGGCATGACCTGAAGCACGGAACTCCTGAGTTGGCTGCACAGATCATTCAGGTACATTTGAGACATGCATTCCAAATGCTTGGCCTTTGTTACCACATATCAGTATTTTGTTTTCATCAGCCAATAACATAAGAATCTGGGCATGTTTAATATTTCATTGGAAAAAGCAAGCATAGCTATTTAAATTCTTTGAAATCCACAGTCGTATAACTTCATTATAGATAGAATCTTTCCTAAGCACTGTGTCCATGAACTTGTAGCCTGGCTATTTATAGGTGCAGTCTCTAAAGTGTCATTTCTCCTTTGCTCCCTTGGGTCCATCTAGCAGTAGACATAGCACACGGTGTTGTCCACATATAACAAAAGAGAAAAGTAAAGTTCAAAGAATCTGTGATTACCAAGGTTGTGACTTACCTCATCTCTTACCTTCCCTTCACTTTAAGATACATAAAAATAGCAGGTCGTTTTTTGTTAAGAATAAATGTTATCCTATAATGCCTTTTTTTTTTTCCATCTTAAGGAATTTAAAGCAATTCAAACACATTAACATTTCTCCTCACAGTATCCCTGTAAAGAAAGTAAGGATAGTTATTATCACAGAAAAATCATGTTTTTAGTGAGAGAATTACTCCAGATAAATTTAGAAGACCACCCAGAGAAGATTTCAGGTTCTGCAGCAAGCCATGGCATTTAACCCAGTGTGGGGATCTCCTACGGAGATCAGGGTGAAACAATAGTGCCTTTTTTTTAAAGTAAGCCCAACAGAACACTCTAAAGGAAATCAAGAATTAATATAATTGAGCATCAGGAATTAAAATAGGTGGATAGTCACTAAACATGTGTGCACTACACAGAATCAAATAATAATGAGAATTTAAGATTATAAGAAAACCCAATTCTCAAACCTCTATAACTTACTCCTTTTTAAAACTTTTGGTTCAGTATAGCCTTACAGAAACACACAGCCACATTGCATTGAAGGGAGATTCAGTTATCGGCCTCAGTTCATAGACAAAATTTAAAGAAATTGGGTGCCTTAAAATTTCTTGAAATCAGAGGCAGTAATTCGGACCTTTACCTGTGGATACCAGGCAGCAGCTGCCCTGGTGAGGACAGGTACATCATGAAAGGGCCAGGTTGGTGAGAGGAGGAGGGGGTGCGGGGGGGGGGGGGGGGGGAGTTAATCAATTATGGGATTTGTTAAAGGAAACAGGAGAGCTGAGTAAACTTTATATAGTGAGAAATCAGATCAGTAAGATACAGATAAATAGACTGACTAAATATATTTCAGGCAGTGTTAAAATACTCAATTCTTAAGTAGATGGACCTCACTACATTTCTAACCAAAATGTGAAAAAATGTACATACACAGGTAGAAAATACATTAAATTTTTTTCATAATAATGTATATTTTGATTTTTATAATGCAGTAGTTAAATAGTTGCATCATAGTTTCCTCAGAGAATAGAAAACCGAAGTTGGTCAATTTAACTTTCTCTGTGGGAAAAAGAAATGTATTCCATGTCCCATAAAAAGAATCAGAAAGACAAAATACAGAAAATAAAGAAGGAAGTTAAATCACATTCAATCTAATAGCCCCAAAATGTCAACATTAATGTTTTGGAGACCATCATTACAAACATTTTTTATGTGTTTGTCCTCAGGTAAATAGGTGCATATTTACACAAATACTTAACATTATGCACTTATAAATTCTGAGTTTGCAACTTTTTCTTTACATCAACAGTATATTGTGGACTTATTATAATAGTAAGTGTAGCCGAAACCGGTTTGGCTCAGTGGATAGAGCGTCGGCCTGCAGACTGAAAGGTCCCGTGTTCGATTCCGGTCAAGGGCATGTACCTTGGTTACGGGCACATCCCCAGTGGGGGTGTGCAAGAGGCAGCTGTTCGATGATTCTCTCTCATCTATATTTCTAACTCTATCCCTCTCTCTTCCTCTCTGTGAAAAATCAATAAAATACATATTTAAAAAAAAATAGTAAGTGTAGATTCACATCGTGATTTTTAATACCTGTGTGCATGTTGTGTTCTATAACTTTTATTTTCAGGTTTAAGACATTTTGCTAAACTTCCTTCTGTAAAAATCAGACTATACTAATTTATACACCCAGTAACAAAGCATGCTACTTACTTATGAATCATGGGTATTGTCATTTGGGTATCCTGCATTTTAAAATATATTGACTTTAACACAACTCTTTTGCTATGTTTGAAATCCTGGAATATTACATGTGTGGTCTGTTTAAAGTTAGCCTAAACACAAATGTTGAAGTGTTTCAAGCCTAATTGCCCACTTCTATTACATGCAAAGAATTTTGTCTTTGGCCCTAACCAGTTTGGCTTAGTGGATAGGGCGTCGGCCTACGGACTGAAAGGTCCTGGGTTTGATTCCAGTCAAGGGCATGTACCCTGGCTGCAGGCATATCTCTAGTGGGGGGTGCACAGGAGGCAGCTGATCAATGTTTCTCTCTAATCTATGTTTCTGGTTCTCTACCCCTCTTCCTTTCTATCTGTAAAAAATCAATATAATATATATATATATATATATATTTTTTTTTTTAAAGAATTTTGTCTTTGAAGCAATCTAAGATCAGTGATTCATTTCTATTTATAGTTTTGTAAGTAGGAATTTCCCAGTAAAGTTGAAGTACTGATTATGAAATATTTAGTAGTTATCAGGTGTTAAGCATAATGAAAATGATCCTACACTGACATGAAGTCACAAAGGGAGCGTCTCACCACTTCACACTGTGATCTAATAACCTGAAGTATCAGAATTCTAAGTATCAGAATTCTAAACATTCTACTTTGTTATTGATCTTTTAGATCAAGCCCCAGACTCTGCTTTGGAAGTATGGCTGTATATTAACTGTTCTTTCAGTTATTCTAAAGAACTTGTTTGAAACTATTTAGTGCTATAAAATGTTTGAATAGAAAATGGTTTTCATTGGGGTCTTAAAGTTGGTTATCACTTATTTTCCAATTTAAAAACTAAAAATGGAGTAATTTCTTAACATTGTTGACTATAGTTATGAGGGAGTTCCCCTCTTTCTACCACAATTCCTTGAAAGTAGGCTATCCTATTTTCCCAGAGAAATAATAATAAAATTGAAAATTGTGGTCATGACCAAGAGTCAATATCAAATAAATTAGGCTTGTACATTAAAAAACAAAGATAAAATAATTTAAAGTAAAAAATTAAGTAACAAAGTATTTTTTAAAAATATACTAGATATGAATCTCTGTTTAAAATACAGATATATAGATAACGGACTTCTAAATTTAAAATAATCATCATAAACCTCTAAAGTAACTTACCATATTAATCCTTAGGGACATGTGGCTGTGTCATACACATACTGTGTGTGTGTGTGTGTGTGTGTGTGTGTGTGTGTGTGTGTGCATGGTCTTGTTATGCCGTATCTCTATAATCATTCTTTTCAGGACTGTTTAAAAAAATCCTATTTTGACTCGAACCTATCACAAGCAAAAACAAAGCTGGGCATAGTTTCATCAATTATTACTTCCAAAGTAGCCACTATAAAATTTATTTCAAAAGTCACAATGGGTTTTAATTAAGTTTTGAATCATTTCTTCCTTTCTATCTCCTTCCTTTGCTATGACCCTCTCAGTGCCAGGACTAGTATTGAAAGGGCAAAGAAGAATTTTTAAAAAGTTATCATACAGGTTTGGCTCAGTGGATAGAGCCTTGGCCTGTGGACTAAAAGGTCCCAGGTTTGATTCCGATCCAGGGCACAGCTTGGGTTGTGGGCTCAGTCCCCAGTAAGGGGCTTGCAGGAGGCTGCTGATCAATGATTCTCTCTCATTATTGATGTTTCTATCTCCCCCTTCCTCTCTGAAATCAATAAAAAGTATATTTAAAAAATAAAATAAAAAGTTACCTTAGCCGAAACCGGTTTGGCTCAGTGGATAGAGTGTCGGCCTGGGGACTGAAAGGTCCTGGGTTCGATTCCGGTCAAGGGTATGTACCTTAGTTGCGGGCACATCCCCAGTAGGGGGTGTGCAAGAGGCAGCTGATCGATGATACTCTCTCATTGATGTTTCTAAGTCTCTGTCCCTCTCTCTTCCTCTCTGTAAAAAATCAATAAAAATATTTTTTTTAAAAAGTTACCGTACCCTTCAAGAAATCAAGGGGAGATGAGAGGTAACTGCTTTGCCTTATTGGAGGTAGAGTTGGGAAGGGCATATCCAGGAGCTCTGTGTGTGTGATTCACCTGCAAAAGTTTTAAAATATTAACTCATGAAATGAACCTCCTTCTTCCTCACCACCAGTGCTTGCATTCACTACCCAAGCAAGGCTCTGGTATAGCGATAAGTGCATTAGAAACTATACTGCCTGTAATTTTTACAATGAGAAGCTTCATTAATGACTGGTGGTAATGTATGTATGTGTGTTTCCTCCAGGCTAGTGGAGAAAGGGTCAATTTAACAATTGCTAGACCAGGGAAAGCCCAGCCTGGTAACACTATCCGAGAAGCAGGAACCCAGAGCAGCAGCCAGCACCATGCGCAGCCACTGTATTACAGCAGACCCAGCTCACATAAGGTGAGGTGTTGTGTTTGTTTGTGTGTTTTAATTTACCCACCCTCAAAGGACCATTGTTACAACTGGTAAAATTTAAATGAAGGCTGCTATTCTGTTGGAGAAGGTGAACATGGGCATTGGGGAGGTGAAATGTGCATGTTTTGCTGCCTTGGAGTGTGACTCTGTTGTCTCAGTTCTTCAGACAATAGAGGTGGTTTCTTAGTGAAGAAGGTCCCTTCTGCCAGGTGATTGATGAGAAATGTTTGATCTTCCAGGAAAAAATTTCTGTTTAGTCTTCCTTGAAAGTGGGCTTTATCTTGGATTACTCATTTAAATGCAGCAGTTGGTTGTCTGACTGAAAAAGCAAAATGAAGACAGTGATGACAAGTTTATACTTTGCAATCGAGCAGGTTGCCTGCAACAACAGAATTAGATATGCGATTATTAAACGTATAAATCATACATTTTGATAGATACAAGTATAGCACTTTTTTATATTATAGCTTAATAGGAATACTACCTTAAATTATTTTAAGTTTCCATATGTTGAGCATTTTTACAGCTTCATTAATATTTCACTGGTATTATAATATATTAAGACATGTATGTCTGTACTGAGAATTTTGATACTCTCTAACTTTAGTTCCAGAAATGAAAAAAGAGTGGTACTTCACTGCATTTTTTCATATTATTTACTTCATTGGATCCTTGTGTGAACTCAACTTCTGATTGGCTAGGATTTTTTCAACGATTACGTTCACCCAACTGTGTGAAAATATAAGCTAAATGTGAGATTCAAAAGTGACTTTCCTTAAGTAAAATTAAATTATTTTACCAAACAAAAACTTATCCATTGATCTGCTTAAAAACTATAGAAGTTGCCTATGTGTTAAAATGGCTTCTTAATGTAAGTACAATATTTGAAAAGTAATTACCTTTGGAATGTCACGGGTACCCTAAAAAAGCATTTCTTAAAGACATGAGTATTTTTTGGCCCATCAAGTTTATCTGGTTTTCTGAGTTTAAGTATAGACTTGTCACTGATCTTTGGTTTAGTTAATACGTACACACAATTATAACCACAGTCTTTGTTCTCATTTTTTAACAAAAAAACAGAATGTATGCGGGAAACCTTGTAATTTTGCCTTCATAATGATGACTGTGAAAAAGGAGTTAGTGTTTTGAACAATAATTTCTAATAGTAGTCATTTCAGATAGCTTGTCCTTGCTTTACAAGATAAATATTCTTAAAGAATTGTAGTATAAGCCAAAAATTGATTATTGAATCTTTTGTGTCATTGAATTTTACAATGATTTGAGATATGGATGTCTGACAACATTGTAATTTTAAGACATAAGAAAATTTTTAAAATTATGTTTAATTATTTCAACATTCATATAGATAACTGCTTCATTTTGTTTGGAGCACATATATTTTTCTCTTTTAACTCTGCTAATTCTTATTCTCTTTAATTTTATGTCACAGTGTTTTACATAGTAATGCTGAATTTATTCTTATTCTAGGTACTCTGCAAACCTGTTAGTTGGGCCAACCACATGAGATATACTTTTAAGAGTTAATTTAGCTATTTACTCTTGCACTTATTATGACAAATCTGATATAGAAAAATAAAGGTCTCCTAGGGAAAGCCAAAACACAAATTCATGAAACAACCTGTTCAGGTGATTATAATTGTTAAAAAATTAAAATATATGTCTACTAATAAACTTCTATGTAGCTGTTTGGATAAGCATTCATATGGTGTTGAACCCTGAGAAGTTTCCTTAAAGCTTACCCAGTAAAACCATTGATTTTGTTAGGTTTTGTTCGGGGGGGGGGGGGGGAAGCATACATCTCAGCTGTCAGAGGACTAGAATCCCTATCTTTAAATAATGAAATACCTGAGAGCTAAAACGCTTAATATCCTCAAGGCTGGGTTTACATGTCCTCATATAAATCCTCTTGTCCATTTTGAAGAATACTAACATAGATTTCATACATTTAGATAGGAGACCACTTAAGATATTTACAGGTTTTCAGCTAGGAATGCTCTGCTATTATTTTAAATAATTCTCTTAATAAAAATTTCAGGAGTGCAGGGGTCCAGGATCAGAGAAAGCACATGACCTGGAATTCTAGGACCTGGTTAATAGATATGTGCATGTCAACTCTTTAAATTTATGCCACTAAAGGAAATATTAAAATTCTGTAAATGTAACTCATATATTTCCACTGTTGATATTGTTAGTAACATTAATATAATCTTGTACTATCAACTTTCCTTTCAAAGAATAGGGAAGAAAGATGGAAGAAAAGTTAATTAGCTCATATTTAGAATCTTAAAAGTCAAACATTATTTTCTTTTATAGAATTGATCATATATCGGACTTTAAGATAACTATATAAATGATGTGCTTGTTTTACTTTAATTTACACATGCCAATAGTCCTAAGTTGTTTTAGTTCCATTGTCATACGAAAAATCCAAAGTTTGACGTGATCCACAGTGATCAGTGTGTAGTTTTGAACCTATGAGGAACTGTGTATTACTTTCAGTTCTATACTGAGTGATAAAAAAAATTACAGTTACCATATAAGTTTTTACATTAGTTTAAGCTGTCCTCGTTTTATATTCATTCCAATAAATATATTCCACAAAATTTTCCTCTCATGATTTAGGATCTTACCCAGTGTGTTACTTGCCAAGAAAAACACATTACTGTAAAGAAGGAACCTCACGAGTCCCTTGGAATGACAGTAGCTGGGGGCAGAGGAAGTAAGAGTGGGGAACTGCCCATTTTTGTGACCAGTGTGCCGCCTCATGGCTGCCTTGCACGCGATGGCAGAATCAAGAGAGGTAAGATAGGTTTGTCAGTAATGTCAATGATGTCACTACATCTTCTCCCTGAATTAACTATGAACGTAAAAACTATGTACAACGTTTTCTCTTAAATATTACTTTTTTAATTCTTTAAAATGTCCCTTGCATATATAAGCATAAAGCCTCTTTATAAGCGTAGAAAAATGCCTACTGTAAAGGGAAATTGCTGAAGGTTGGCATTTACTAGCAGTTATGGAGACTGTTGGTCTATTTTATGCTAGAAAATATTTTCTAAGAAGTTTATGTTTTCTACGTGATGGCAGACTAGATTCTCTGAAGGACCATCTCCAAAATACAAATGTTGCTTAAAATAAAGTGGGACGGGTTCACAGGGGATGTGGAGCAAAGACAAACTTTAAAAATATAGTGGGTTTAGGGATTAACACGAAAGTTCACATTCCGCATCAATATTATATTATTTGTGTACATGGGGGTGGTAGTGGTGAAAACAGCATTCTTCATACACTTGGTTTATTCATGTGGAAAAGTGAGTCTTAAAAGCTATTTTTTTTTTTCAAGAGTGAGGTTGGATTCCTACCTCAAGCCACATACAAAAATTAACTTATTATGGACCCAATACCTAAATGTAAGGTCTACAACATTCAGAGAAAAACTCATGACCTTGGACTAGGTGGTGGTTTTCTTAGATATGATACCAAAAACACAAGCAACAATGACAAAATAGATAAACGACTTCATCAAAATTGCAAATTTGATAATGGACCCACACCACCAAGAAAGTAAAAAGATAACCCACAGAATGGGAGAAAATATTTGTAAATTGTATATCTGATGATTTGTATCTAGAGTACTAAAGAACTCTTACAACTCAATACATAAAAGTGTAAATAACCCAATTGAAAAACGAGCAAAGGATCTGAATAGACATTTCTCCAAAGGATATACACAATGTCATTAGTTATTAGGGAAATGCAAATCAAAGCCGCTTCACACTTACAAGGATAAATATAATAAAAAAAAAAAGCAATAGCAAACATTGGCAAGGATGTGGAAAAATTGGAATCTTCAGATATTGCCTGTGGAAATGTAAATTGTTGCAAATGTTTTAGATAAGAGTTTAATAGTTCCTTAAAAAGTTAATCATAGTGTTACCATCTGATCTATAACAATTCTGTTCCTAAACAAATGGAAATATGTGACCACACAAAAACTTGTACATAAAGTTTCACAGCAGAATTTTTCAAAATAACCAAAAAGTACAAGCAACCCAAATATCTGTCAGTTAACGAATGGATTAACATAATATGGCATATCCATACAATAGAATGTTATTTGGCTCTAATGAGGAATGAAGCATTGACACAAGCTACAGTATAGGTGAACTTTGAAAACATTATGCCTATGAAAAGAAGAAGCCAGTCACAAAAGACCACATGTGATTCCTTTTATATGACATGCCCAGGTGGGAAGATCCATAGAGATAGAAAGTAGATTAGTGATTACTTAGGCCTGGGGGAAGAAAAGTGACTGTTAATGGGTACATGTCTTTTGGGGGTTGATCTTAAAATGAGAGGTCTCTGTGACTATACTAAAAACCATAAAGTTGAAATTAGAATAAATTGAATGTTATATGAGTAATCTCTTTAGAAGGCTGCTATTTTTTACAGGTATTTGTCCAGTTATAGAATTGGGGGTAATTTTATTTCCTTTTTATTATTTGTTATGTTTTCTAAATTTTCTACAATGAAAATGTTTTGCTTTAACAATATGAATAATAGATGAATTGGGAGAGAAGTTTTTATGTAGGTTTCTTGATACAAGTATGTGTGCTTCCTACAGAAATAATCTTTTTCTTCCTAGCCTTTTATTTAATCCCCACTGCCCTTTTTATCATATTATTTGACAGAGGAACAAATACTTTTTTTTCTCCCTCAAGGAAAAGATGTTCAAATCACTAGTTTCATTTCTTTGTGTAGGCCCAAGAATATACTCTCTACATATTCTGATATGTGTGCACTGAGTGAACTGTGTAGGGCTGTCTTTATGTATAAAACTGTGTAAACATAGAATATTAAAAATTCATGTCTAAGTGTCAAATAATTTTTGAATTAGAAAGAACAGTAGAAATCATTGAAGCTCAAAGAAGAGAACTGAATGTGCAAGGGGCTGTACTCAGCTAAACCTATGACATGCCAGGGTCAAGGATTTTGACTTTTGACTTCCAATGGAATCACAGTTCCTCAAGCCACACTTTTCCCTATATATTATGAAATTACTTTAAATATATATATAGATATATATATATATATAAATATATATATATATATATATATATATATATATATATATATATATATATATATATATATATATAATTGATTTCAGAGAGAAAGGAAGAGGGAGGGAGAGATAGAAACATCCATGAAGAGAAAGAATCATGGATTGGCTGTCTCCTAAAAATCCCCCACTAGGGATCAAACCCATAACCCTGGCATGTGCCCTTGCCAGAATCGAACCTGGGACCTGTCGGTTCGCAGGCTGACACTCTATCACTGAGCCAAACCGGCCAGGGCTGGAGTGATTCTCATGAGTTGAATTTTTTCTCAGTATTATAAAAATTACAAAGAAGAAAAAAAATGGTCTTTTACCTTATCTCATATGAGTCATGAAACTAGCTTTTGTTGCTTAGCTTATCAGTAGAAGAATTTACAGGGAGATAATCACTTAGTAGCTCAGCTCATTCTTTTTTTTTTTTTTTTTTTTTTTTGTCTTGACATTTGAACAGGTGATGTGTTGTTGAATATCAATGGCATTGATCTGACCAATTTAAGTCACAGTGAGGCTGTTGCTATGCTGAAAGCCAGTGCTGCATCCCCTGCTGTTGCCCTGAAAGCCCTCGAGGTCCAGGTTGTTGAGGAGGCTACCCAGGCCACGGATGCGCAGCCAAGCACTCTCAGTGAGAACGAGTACGATGCCACTTGGTCCCCATCGTGGGTCATGTGGCTTGGGCTTCCAAGGTACTGACAGCTTTTTTTGTTGCTTAATAAAGTAACTAGTAGCCCTGTGCACAAATCCGTGTGCCAGTAGCTCTCTGTGGGGCCTGGCCACTCTGCGCCCGCTCCCCAGAGGCTCTCTGCAGCCCAGAGGCCCTTTCACGGCCAGGCATGGAATGCTTGCCTCATTGCCTAGGTGACGATGCAAGCATTCCCCCTACCCCCCCACCGCTCCATGCCTGCTGCACAGAGGCCCTCCACAGCCAGGATGGAACGCTTGCTTCATTGCCACAGCAATGCCCACTCTCAGTGACCACCCCTCCAGGACTGGGGGACTCCGGTGGGGCTGAGAGGACTGGGTGCTGCCATCTTCTGGCTATGGGCACTGGCATATTTGTGATGGAGTGCTGGTTAATTTGCATATTACCCTTTTAGTAGATAGAATTATAATTACAATTTTTATTAGTGTGTAACCCAGTAAATTTTAGATAAAAGTAGCAACATCAAATCAAGTTATAATAAATGGTCATTTTTTAGCTTATATTTAAAAGGTAAATGTAATAATAAGAACTAAGCTAAAAAGACATCTATTTATAAAAATTAATAAATCCATTTGTCTGTTTCTGTTAAGGCTCATACGTGGGCAAGCAGTCTCTTGCTCAGGAAAGCTGTCATCATCAACGTTCATTCTGATACATGCTTAGACTTCATGTTCATGGGGTCAAAGTGTAGAGCCTTGTCTTATCCCAGGAGGCTTTCTAAAAGCCCTTTGTTCTTAATGCTTTTAACTCTCCTAAAATGGCTGGGTATAAAACTCAATTTTTATTGGGCATAAGAGTCTTAAATCCAATGATTGGTATTCAAGCATAGCTGCTCCTACCCACGTTTCTTTTTTTTTTTTTTTTTAATATAATTTATTGATTTTGTACAGAGAGGAAGGGAGAGAGATAGAGAGTTAGAAACATCGATGAGAGAGAGTCATCGATCAGCTGCCTCTTGCACACCCCCTACTGGGGATATGCCCGCAACCAAGGTACATGCCCTTGACCAGAATCGAACCCGGGACCCTTCAGTCCCCAAGCTGACGCTCTATCCATTGAGCCAAACTGGTCTCGGCTCCTACCCACGTTTCTAAAGAATTCACTGCTTCATGACTGACTGACCAGCCAATGTGTTCTGAACTTGGTCAGGGTCTGGTCATGGAACCTCCAGGTGGTTATTGCATAATTTGATCTTGAAGTGGGAAGAATGTGCTCTTATTTTTGTTTCCAAATCAGCTTAGATTCTTAACATATAAAAAAAATCCTAAAATCGAACTATGATGAAACATTTTGATTCTTAACAAAGTATGAAAATTACTTATTTAAAATAAAAATAAACGATAAGAATGTGCCAATTTCTGGGCTACCTAGCTTCATTTGGAATAAATTAGTAATAACTACCGTGTTTCCCCAAAAATAAAACATCCTCCGAAAATAAGACCTAGTGCATGGAAAGATAAGACATCCCCTGAAAATAAGACCTCGTGCAACTTTGGGAGAAAAAATTAATATAAGGCACTGTCTTATTTTCGGGGAAACGGTAGAATTTGTATAGTACTCTGGTTTATAAAGTACTTTCAGATAAAGAACAATTAAAAAAAAGGACATTATTAGATTAGATTATACAATTGGATTAGTAGATTACACTAATAAAAGAGAAACATGCAAATTGACCATCACTCTCCTACACCCACAGCCAATCAGGAGCGAGTATGCAAATTAGCCCAACAAAAATGGCAGTGGCCACAGAGCTGGAGCAAGCAGGAGGCTTGGGTTGCCCCCAGCAATGGAGGAAGTCAAGCTTCCCATCCACCCTGGCCAGCCCTGGCCTCTGCTCAAGGCTACAAAGTTTCAATTGTAGAAGATAAATAAATCCCAGATACCTGCTTCCAGCCAACCCTGGCCTTCACTCAAGGAGGCGATGAAAAAAAGAAAGATAAAATGGTGGGGCTGGGATACTGGATCACTGGGGGGGGGACGGGGGGGGGCGCGCGCAGGTAAATGGGGAGGGAAAGTGGGGGCAAGCAGGACAGCAGGGGGCACAGTTGGGGTGAGCAGGCTGGCAGGGGAGGCAGTTGGGGGTGAATACACTGGCATAGGGGCAGTTGGGGGTGATTAGGCTGACAGGGGGGCGGGGGTCGCAGCAAGCAGGCTGGCAGGTAGAGTGATCAGGGGCAATCAGGCAGACAGGTGAGCGTTTAGGAGCCAACAGTCTGGGATTGGGTGAGGGATGTCCATCTGCCAGTTTAGGCCTGATTCCTGTAAACTAGCTGTAGAACATCCTTCCAGGAGTCCCAGATTGGAGAAGGTGCAGGCCGGGCTGAGGGACAGCACCCCTTTCCCCCCCCCCCCCCACGTGCACAAATTTTGTGCACCAGGCCTCTAGTTTGTTTACAATCTAACTTGCTAACTTGTCTTCTTGGTTTAAAACAAACAAAAAGGCTGCCGGGTCACTGTGCTCAGTGATTGAGTATCGACCTATGAACCAGGAGGTCACAGTTCAATTCCTGGTCAGGGTGCAGACACAGGTTGTGGGCCAGATCCCCAGGGCGGGTATGCTGGAGGCAGTCAATCAATGATTCTGTCTGATCATTAATGTTTCTGCCTCTCCCTCTCCCTTCCTCTCTGAAATCAATAAAATAAAACCAACAAAGAGGCCTAAAATTGTAATAGAATTCATGTCTCAGGGTCCTGTAGGGACCTTGTGGAGAGAGATTTTTTTTATGACAAATGATTTAGCTACTAGATATCTGTTTATTTCATACACCAAAATTGAAATAGGAGATTTTTATTACTATTTTCCAGATTTGAGTCCCCTATTTTGTCAATTAGAGTCTCTTAAAATGGAAGCATATTAAGTGAAAAAGGAAAATACAGCAAATTCTAATTCCTTGGATAGATTAAAAAGGTGGATAGTGATCTTACATTTTGGGGGAATCTGCTCTACTCATTTTCTTTCAATTGAGTGCTGAAGTCATACCACTTTTTTTGTTTTGTTTTGTTTTGTTTTTGTTAATCCTCAAACATTGATATTTTTTCCATTTATTTTTTAGAGAGAGTGGAAGGGCTAGGAGGAGAAGGGAAGAGAGAGAGAAACATCAGTTGGTTATCTCCCATACATGCCCCAGCCAAGACCAGGGATGGAACCTGCAACTCAGAGACATGCCCTTCACCAGGAATCAAACCTGGGACCCTTCAGTCCACAGGCCGATGCTCTAACCTCCTAGCCACCCAGCCAAGTGTACCACCATATAAATTTTGAAGGTACCAGTGGATATCAGAATGGAAGACCTGTTAACAGTACAGTGAGAAAATATAGGTTCAGAACCATTTTATACAAGTTTGGAGGTGTAACTTATAACCAAGTTTACTTAAATCCGCGTGTGTGTGTGTGTGTGTGTGTGTGTGTGTGTGTGTGTTATTCACTTGGGAAGAGAAGACTGAAAAAAGTGAAAGAAATTCAAGTCTATGTATAACTGCATCTGTGCTGGAAAATGGTGGTCAAAATAATGCATTCAGAAGAAAATAAAGTAGCCCTTTTACTTTTCCTAGTGATGGAAAATATGACATGATGTGCAGTTATAACGAAGATGAGCTGGCTGTAATTGCCTCCATTAATTGATTCTTGGTGTCTGTATTTGTTTATAGTTCCCTTCATAGCTGCCATGATATAGTTTTACGAAGAAGCTACTTGGGAAGTTGGGGCTTTAGTATTGTTGGTGGATATGAAGAGAACCACACCAATCAGCCTTTCTTCATTAAAACCATTGTCTTGGGAACGCCTGCTTATTATGATGGAAGATTAAAGTGAGTCTTGTTATTTACTGATGTGATTCATGTTTGTTGTGACCGATATGATCTAGACCAGGGATCTGCTCCAAATGCAGCTGTTTTTGTAAATAAAGTTTTATAGGAACATGGCCATGCTCACTTGTTTACATGTTGTGTCACTGCTTCTGAGCTACACTGGCAGAGTTGATTTGTTGTGACAGAGACCATATGATTGGCGAAGCCTAAAATATTTATTTACCATCTGGCCCTTTATAGGAAAATATTGCCAACCCTGATGTAGACAAATCATTACCTTGACAATCTTGCCACTCATAGGTATATTTTGTTAATCTGGTGACAGGCCTGAACCTGAGTCATTGCACTTCACATACTATGATGTGACAGGCTCGGAGTAGTTTTGCCACACAATTCACTCAGGTCTAGTCCTGTCATTAGATGCCTCTGCTGTATTTTTCTCCACAGCACTTACATCTCCCTAACAATATATTTATGCAAGCTCCACGCAGGGAGGGGGAGAGGGGACTTCGTTATATTTGTTGTTACATCCCTGGTAGCCAGAGCAGTGCCTTGCATATGTAGTAAGGTCTCAACAAATATTTAATGGACGAGTGTGGGATAGTTGACAGTGTGCCAGGCACAGTGCTGGGTGCTTGAGACTGATTGGATTATCAAATCCTCTTAAGCAGGGGTCTTCAAACTTCTCTCATTATGAGAATCACCTAGTGGAGGTGTTAAAACACAGATTCCTGATAGCACTTCTTATAGTTGGGATCCGGGAATCTGTGTTTTAACAACTCCACCAGGTGATTCTCATAATGAGAGAAGTTTGAAGACCCCTGCTAAGCCTAGGAGGTGTTGTAATTCCCACTTATAAACCAGATAAGTAAGGCTTAGAAAGGTTAAGAAACGTGCCCACAATCAAACAGCTGAGAGTGGTTGACGCAACTCAAACCCAGACTACCTGGCTCCAGAGCCTTTCCCACTATCCCCTTGGCCGGTTGTCACCACTGGGCAGGAAGGACTTGCTCAGCCTCCGTGCAGCCTTCTTTACTTTTTCAAAACTCAGGTGCAGGGAAAAGAATGAGGTATTATATCAAAAGATTATACTAACCAAGAGGAGGTGGGTGATTATAAGTTCTTAGTGCCTAGTTTTTGATGAAAGAACTAATTCGCAAAAATTAAATTGACATCGTAGACAAAAAGCAGCACAAACAGAGAGATTACAGTGTTTGCAAATAGAAAGTGACATTAAAATAATATTGTGAAAAGTTGGTCGGGTTTGGTACACTCCAGATAAGTCTTTTTATCAGATTATTTTATAAAATGGAAAGTATTATTTTACAAGGAAAGAGTAGGGGGAAATGAATTAGCCTTTCTCTTAGCTAAATTAACCAGAATGAGTCTGTTAGCTTATAATTTGCATTCCACCTGCTTCCAAAAAGAAGTTGAGATAGCTAACAATAAAATGGTATGTTCATATTATAAACTAAAGACCAAAAATCATAAAAGATAAATTTATTCGCCTAATTATATTTTGCCTTATGCTTACATGAAAATTATTCTTCTTGCCCTTGAAATCACCCACTGATTAAAGGAGAGAGGGTGGCAGAGGGATAATTGGCCATGAAAAACCAGCATAGACTTAAAAATTCACCCCAGATGTTTCTCAGACTAGATAATACACTCTAATCATTGACAATTAATGGTTACTAAGTTAAACTGATTTTTATGCTAAACAAATCTCCAGGTAATCCATGTTTCTCCCTCTCCCTTCCTCTCTCAAATCAATAAAGACATATTTTTAAATGGTTTTAATACCATGAAAATCATGACAGTCTGTTTCTGTTTCTGTCTGTCTTTGTCCAGATGTGGAGATATGATCGTGGCTGTGAACGGCCTGTCAACTGTGGGCATGAGCCATTCCGCGTTAGTTCCCATGTTGAAGGAGCAGAGGAACAAAGTCACTCTGACAGTTATTTGCTGGCCTGGCAGCCTGGTATAGATTTTGGAATAGATTTTGACTCAAACATCTTTCTTTTTTAGGTTTTTCATAAAGGAAATCCTTTTTTTTTTTTTTGTCTTTCTGGTTGTTAGGAGCTACTAGCACAGCTAGTATATACAGGGCCCCAAACCACTAAGATTGTCCTTCTGTTGTTGTTTAAGTGGTTAAACTCTAGTTAGCCACATTTCTTTCTTCTTGGAAACAGTCTTCCACTAATCCTATGAGTTCATATTTTCAGAATGTGACCTATAATAATGAATGAAGTCAGTCAAAACTGTGACCCAGCCAGCTAGATTCAAGGACTTCTGGCGGCTCTTTGTTTTCACTGACTGAACCAGATAATGAGTTACACATGCCCAAGACTGGTACCAGTGAAGACAGGAGCAATAGCATTTGCTATCACTGTTACTGCCAATGCCAGGAATGGATAGATTTTAAATTTGGATGATAACCATTTCCCATTTTTCATAGGTGCCAACATTTCAAAACTTCATACTGTTTATAAATTTTTCTGGCTTATTTCTTAATCTCTCAGTGCTCAGAGATGATGAAGAAATAATTTTGACACCACAAGTTTATTTTTAAAAAAAACCAAAAACATCCCTTTATTAGAATATTAGAGAATAAAAGATAGCATTTTCCAGTGTCAGGCATTTGAGAGAGAATTATAGTTTAGTACTGGAGATGTTAAAAGCTGCATATACTTGAACAGTCCAAAAGCATTAAAGATTCATTTCCAAAGGAATGTTTCATGTAGGAAAATTTTAAAGCAGTTTTTGCTAAAATTATTTTTTAGAGTTTGTATTATCCTTCTGTCAATAAACCTGGCTGGATATGTTTTTGTGATTTATGCAATTAGATCATAAAGATAAAACCATTCAAGACATACTTACCCAACACAGCTAAGTAGGGGAAGCTAAACTTTTAAAATTTTTATTCATTAAGATTCTTGAGTGTTTTAGAAATCTTTCTTTTTCATCATTATTCCTTTACTTACGAACTTAATTATTTTTTTAAAAAGTGAAAAATTCTGTGTTGTTTTTTTTTAAACCTGAAATAGTAGATTTTAGATGTGAATATCTATCAGTTTTTGGTCACTAGACTATTTCATATTTTTTGAGAAGTTTTTGAAAGCTATGACCAGCCCATTATGTTTGTCCTTTATTCAATATGATTGTCCTTCAGAAGAAGGAGGTGAATAAGATAAAAAATATCCTTATTAATATTGTGCATACTTGAAAAAAGTTTCATTAGAAACCTAGTTCAGAATCTGAGCTAATTTACAAATGACCTATGTAATGAATGGTATTGATGATCAGAGAATGTATTTCAAAATAACTACAGTATATTATGAAGCATGACCACTTTGTTTTCAAACTTAGCAATTGCATTGCTGTGCTCATTGTATTCTAGCATGTCACCAATCATTCCAGTTAGTTTTATAATGATTTTTTAAAATATATCTCTTTTGAATAAATAAGAAATGGAATAGTTATTACTAACTTGTTCAACCTCTTAGCCACACTGTAGTTGACAGGTAACCAAGATACAGTGGAATGCCCCATGCAGTATATTACTGTTATGTTATGATTGGCTTTGGAAGCAATTTGATATTGAAATGCTTTGATATTCTAATTGACATGGAACAAGTTTTATTCCTACTCCCCAAGTAGAATTTTGTAACCCACTTTGCTATTTTTAAAAACATTTTGTAAAAATGAGTCATTTCTTGGGGAATGGCCATCCATCAACAAATACCCCAACCTGCTACTTTATTATATATAAAATAGTTTTCATTGAACTCAGTGGTTATAATGAGTATTCTGAAAGAAGAAATACTTTTCAATATTATTTTTATTATGGAAATCTTTAAATCAGCTTAAGCTAATTTGGTTTTATTACAAAAGATTATATAGCTTTTGGTCAGAATGATATTTGGTGATGGAAATTTATTCATAATTTATTGTTACTGTTGAAATATTTGAATTTTGTCATTTGAAGCTTAAACAGTTAAATATTTCTATTTGTTCTGTGCCTTCAGTTTAAATTATTTCAGGATTTTCCAGGTATGTTTAAATAATGATATGATGATCATTCTTGATGGAAATAAAAGTCATCAATTCCATAATAGCAGTATTGTATCTTTCTGGAACAGCAGGTGTTAACTCATGATCCTTACTTTTGTTATCATTACAGTATCCCAAGCTTAAACCTCAGCATCACAAATCCATCTTCTAGTTCTCATTCCTCTAGGCCAGTGGTCAGCAAACTCATTAGTCAACAGAGCCAAATATCAACAGTACAACAATTGAGATTTCTTTTGAGAGCCAAATTTTTTAAACTTAAACTTCTTCTAACGCCACTTCTTCAAAATAAACTCACCCAGGCTGTGGTATTTTGTGGAAGCGCCACACTCAAGGACCAAAGAGCAGTGTGTGACTCACGAGCCACAGTTTGCTGACCACGACTCTAGGCATATGATCTCTAGTGACTTGCTTTGCTTGTGCAGTATCTCTAGACAGGTGGCTACTGAGTGCCTAATTGTGACCAGTGCTATATGTTGAAATGATGATATCTTGGACATATGGATTATATAACACTAGAGGCCCTGTGCACGAAATTCATGCATGGGGGAGGGGAGTATGTGGTATGTGTCCCTCAGCCCAGCCTGCACCCTCTCCAATCTGGGACCCCTCGAGGGATGTCCACCGGCCTGGGCCTAAGCAGGCAGTTGGACATCCCTCTCATTACAATTCAGGACTGCTGGCTCCCAACTGCTTGCCTGCCTGCCTTCCTGATTGCCCCTAACCTCTTCTCCCTGCCAGCCTGATCACCCCCTAACCACTCCCCTGCCAGCCGGATTGATGCCTAACTGCTCCCCTGCTAGCCTCTTTTTCCCTAACTGCCCTCCCCTGCGGGCCTGGTCCCCACCCCCACCCCCCAACTGCTCTCCCCTGCAGGCCTGGGTCTGCCCCAACTGTCCTTCCCTGTAGTGCTCTCCCTTCTATGCCTCTCACATGGCCCTATAGCTGAAGGCGTAGCTTGAACATAACCGCATCTTGCTCCCTCTTACCTTCACTTCCACTTGCAAGAGAATTACCCTCCTTGTGATGGAACCTCAGCCAGCCTTCATATTTGTATGTTTTATGGCTCTGACCACTTTCTACCACTTAAGACTGTCACAGTTTTAAGTACCATCTTTGATGGTCATCTTGTAATTTTGAATACCATAGGTGCCCTAAGTCTTAGCTCCCACAGTCTATAGTATGAATGTCCTATTGCTTTAAGATTCATCATCTCAATCCTCCAAACTAAAACAATATCTCCAAACATTGGCCTACTTCCCTCCCTCCTTCCCTCTCTCCTTTCCTCCCTCCTTCCCTCTCTCCTTCCCTCCTTCCCTCCCTCCTTCCCTCTCTCCTTCCTCCCTTCCTCCCTCCCTCCCTTCCTTCCTTCCTTCCTTCCTTCCTTCCTTCCTTCCTTCCTTCCTTCCTTCCTTCCTTCCTTCCTTCCTTCCTTCTTCCCTAACCACCTCTGCCTGCCAGCCTGATCACCCCTAATCACCTTTGCTTGCTGGTTTAGTTGCCCCCAACTGCCCCTTTCCCCACTGGCCTGGTTGCCCCCAACCTCCCCCCTGCCAGCCTCGTCACACATAGCCTGCTGTTCAGTTGTTTTGTCGTCCTTCACTAACCCCCCTGCCGGCCTGGTTGCCTCATGCAGCCTGTTGTTCAGTTGTCTGTCTGGTTGTATCAGTCATGATGGCCCCTGGCTTTTTATGTATTAGGATATTTTTGTAGTCATGGACGTGCACTTAGCAGAAGAAAACAAACTTGTCAGGTAGGTGTTTGAGGTAATTGTAGCAGTTTTTAAAAGACATTAAATATCAGAGACATTAAATATGCAGAGCCTGGGCTATCCCAGAGGAAGAACCTCGGCCTGGTATTCATCTTCTGTTCCAGGATCCCATCCAGGACACACTAGTCCTTTCTAGCCAGGCTCCTGTTGGCTGTGCCATTCTGTCAGACTTCTCCTTGTGAGGATCTTGGCCATGTCACCGGTCAAGGATGTTGTACAAGGCGATCTACTGGAATTTGTTTATTTTTCTCATGATTAGATTGGGGTTACTGGTTTGGAGAAGGAAAATCACAGAAAAGTGCCATTCCCTTATGTCAGATTGAATGACTAGTATGTACTGTCGATATGATTTATGACTTGGTTTGATGTTGACCTCAGTTGTGTTTATCAGGTTTCTCCACAATAAAGTTACTCTTTCCTCTAACTCCTGCCCCAGAAGTCACTGCACAGCCCACAATCAAGGAGGGGGGGAGGGAATCTGCTTTAATAAAAAAACCACAAAAAGCTGTCAGGGAAATGAGGGGCCTCTGGTGCTGGCGCTGCAAAGGGGAGGTCTTGTCTGTGGTGCAAGCAAGGAAGCGGGATCCTTGGTTAAGAATATCAGGAACACATTTCTTTCCCCAAATCCCTCCCTTGACTCTGCTATTTCATAGTAAAATTTCTAGAAGAGTTGTCTTCATGTTGTGCTTTTTCACTCTTTTAAATTCATAACAGTTTTTCCAACACAAAAAGTTATGAAAATGACAATGAATAAATGTACCCACTGACCAAAGCGAAACAGCCACTACTATTGAAGGTCCTTCTCTAAAGGATTCACTTTCTTTCTGGTGTCCCCATGTGTCTCTTCATAATTATACCACCTATTTAGCCTTCACATACAGTTTTGTTGTGCATGCTTTTATAGAAGTGATGCCATGCTTATGTGGTGGTCAGCAACTAACTGATTTTGCTTCAACAGCATTCATGTTTGTTATATGTAGTTCAAGTTTATGTTCATGGCTATATTAGTCAGTGACTGACAATTTTATACTGTTTTTAGTTGAACAATTATCCCCCCCCCCTTTTTTGCCATCTTTGGCAATGCTGCTGTGAGCGCTGAGAACTAAGCGTCCTTGTGCCCCAGGCGAGTTCCTCTAGCGCAGTGGTTGCTCAGCACTAGCTCCACAGCAGAATCAACCAGAATTAAGGGGGTGAAATGGCGTCTCATTGTAGTTTTGATTTGCATTTTCCTAATGACTGGTGAAATCTAGTGTCTTTTCACATTTTTACCAGCCATCCTAGTATCCTCTTTGATGAATAACTTTTTGACCATTTTCTAATAGGTTGTTTGGACTTTCCTTATATAAATTTTTTATTCAGGATGTTAACCCTGAGTGGATTATCTGTGGTGCGTATACCTTCCCCAGATTTGTGACTTCTCTTTTCAATTTGTAGCGATGTGATAAACTGCAGTTTATCATTACATTACAATGTGTGGACAAATGTATAAATAGCAGGTTCTGTGTTTTATCTGCTTTTGAAATTTCTTCTTTTGTCCATTTACATTATTTTATTTTTTCTTTCTTACATTGTGCTTTCAGCTTACTTTGCTCTCTGTGCTTTATGTTTTCTTCCCCTGAATATGTCTGTTTCTGCTCATTTAGTGTTTCCCCTTCCATTTCTCTTTGTGCGTACTTCACGTCAGGTCTTAAGTTGGTCAATAGTGTTGCCCTTCCTGTGCACCACATAGGGAGCTTGTCTCCCATCACCCTTCAGGCTAACATGTTGGCTAGTCTATGCTTTCTCCCTCTTTTTTCCTCCAACTAGTCATTATCATTATTTAATTAGTCTAAGGTTTGTTTAGATCTGGTTACTGTACTATGTAAACTACAGAAAAACTGACATAACTACGGGTCATGGTAGCTCTTAACATTACAGTAATGGAAACAGAACGTGTAGGAAACAGAAGGCCCAGAGGGGGTTACAGGCAACTTGCAGACCTGGACAGTGGAGCTGAAGTCCTGGGGAAAGGGCAGATCCATAAACGCTTGAGAGGTAGCAGCATCGCCACCAACATGTTGCCAGTTCACTGTTTGGATCACCAAAGCAGTTTCTCATTTGGAGGGCTGGGAGCTGGGGCCTAGAGGGAAAAAGCAGTCCGTCAAAGATACCTGCCACCAACGTCTCTGGAGCAAATGAAGCCTGTGCTTATAAACCCAGAGGCGTGTTTGGTGGGAAAAGTTGGAAGGCAGCGTTAGAGGCTCGTTTTCTCACTGAACTGCTGCATGGCGCCCTCAGGTTGCCTGTCAGTCCTGTGCTCCCTCGTCCCTACTGCACTCTTCTGCCTGAGAGGCCATGGAGCCTGCAGATCCCATGCTGCAACTGCAAGCTGATTTCCACTCTGTGTACTAAAGTGGACTGTTGCTTTTTTGTTCCTCCAAAACTTGAAGCTATACTCAGTTAAGTGGTTAAAATTACATTCAAAGTTAACAAACCTCAATTTCAGCTTCAAAAGGGTTGTCACCATCTCATCATGCCTGAAGTTTCCATGTTACAATATAGCAAAGCCTCATTGATTCAGACTTATCTCGTTGGATATTTGAGTGCTTAGAGCAGAAATTAACTTGGCACTTTAATTTTTTTTTTTTTTTTTTTTTTTTTTTTTTTTTTTACAGAGAGGAAGGGAGAGGGATAGAAAGTTGGAAACATTGATGAGAGAGAAACATCAATCAGCTACCTCCTGCACACCTCCTGCTGGGGATGTGTTTGCAACCAAGGTACATGCCCTTGACCGAAATCGAACCTGGGACCCTTCAGTCCGCAGGCCTACGCTCTATCCAATGAGCCAAACTGGGTAGGGCTAACTTGCCACTTTATATAAAGAATTAATAAATGGATATTGAAGCTACATGCTGAAGCGTGCTATCTTCAAGTTGCCCTCAGCACTTGAAAAATACCCATGCACATTCAACTGATTGGTATATTTCCTTTCCAGAGTCATTTCAGCAAGAATTTATTCAGCACCAGCTATGTGCACAGTGAATTGATGGGCTCTGGACCACTTATTTCTTTGTGTTTTTTTTAATATATATTTTATTGATTTTTTTACAGAGGAAGGGAGAGGGATAAAGAGTTAGAAACATCGATGAGAGAGAGACATCAATCAGCTGTCTCCTGCACTTCCCCTACTGGGGATGTGCCCACAACCAAGGTACATGTTCTTGACCGGAATCGAACCTGGGACCTTTCAGTCCGAAGGCAGATGCTCTATCCACTGAGCCAAACTGGTTTCGACG